ACAATCTCCAACCTACATATAGTAATATTTTATGTAGAAACAACAAAAAATGATTGCAAAATGGCAGGATATTTGGGCACCATGTTCAGAAATCAGCAGGAACAGATGAACCGTTCTTTGGCCTCTGCCTTCAGGCAGCCAGGCTGTGACAACTCCAGCTGCCATTTGTCTCCCTCTCACTTGGTATGATGTATACATATTTTAATTTTCCCAATATTAATCTGCAAATCCAATGGCCAGCTTTAGATCAACTCTAAAGCTTATGAGAAAAAAAATGAACAAGAATAGCTAAGAAATTTTTGAAAAAGAAAAAAGCCTTGTGAGGGCAGAGACTTAACTTTTCTGTAAAATATCAACCATTTATTAAGTAGGTGCTTTTGCCATTTTTTTTTAAAATATATTTTATTGATTTTTTACAGAGAGGAAGGGAGAGGGATAGAGAGCTAGAAACACCGACGAGAGAGAAACACCGACCAGCTGCCTCCCGCACACCCCACACTGAGGATGTGCCCACAACCAAGGTACATGCCCTTGACCGGAATCGAACCCGGGACCTTTCAGTCCGCAGGCCGACGCTCTATCCACTGAGCCAAACCGGCTACGGCATTGCCATTGTTTAAGATGCCTTCAAACAAGGCTAAATTTTCACTTGTCTGATCTGACTTCTCCCCAAGGCTGCCACACACAACTGGGAGGGGTGCACTGCACATCCCAGTGTGTGTGTTTTGGGGGGGTGGGGGGGGCCAGAGTCACACAGTTTTTTGCAAATGGCTTCTCTGAAGTTCTATTTGTCTATCCAGCAAATGGTATTAGGACAATAGGTTTTCCCTGTGGAGAAAACATTACCAGGTAGTTCATATCCCTGTCTCAATATACACAAGCTTTTCATTTTGTTTTCATATTACATATTTCTATTTGAATTTTGTATTACATTTATAATCAGCAGAAAAAATATTTCTTAACGGATACCAAAAATAGTGTATCTTTTAACAGTCTCTTGAGGATGTCTGTAGACTGCTCATGAGAATATCCATGTGTGTTTTTTAAGCAGCCTTTTAAATCTTTTTCTAAAAAGCTTTATTTTGTAGGGGACTTTCACTGTGTTTATTTATTTATTTTTGTATAAAAGGTTACATCTTTGGAACATGACACAGGTCACTACTTGGGTGGGTGAGTAGGAGTATATAGGTTACAGTGTAATATTTGTGGGGTGGGTCACTAGGAGGAGACACTATTTGAAATCTCATGAGAACCAACTTAAAAGACTTAACTTTAAAAAAAATTTACTGATTTTAGAGAGAGAGAGAAAGGGAAAAAGAGAAACATCAACTTGTTCCACTTAATGCATTCACTGGTTGCTTCTTATACTAGTATGTGCCCTGACTGGGGATCGAACCCGCAACCTTGGTGCATTGGGACAACACTCTAACCAATTTAGCTACCTGGCCAGGGCAAAAGGCTTTAACTTTTGACACCCAACTAATAAAGATTCTTTGGCTTAACATAGCCTTTCTAATGTTCCAGAACATTAACTACAGGTATGTAGGTATTCTAAGATTGTGTATATGTTAATATTCTTCCGTTTTGAGTTTTTTTTAAAAATGACATTGCCTCTGAGTAATGTTCCTAAATTTCCACATTAAAAGCCTTTCTATTTCTAAATAAAATCAAAAGCTTTTAACATTAAAAACTGGATGCATTTTTATGAAAGACTTGCCCAGATCCTTGATATTGTAATCACATGCTCTTGCCAATCATCATCTCTCAACAAATGTATGTAGTGTAGCATGAAGGTTATACAGTGGCTGCTTTCGAGTTTTCAAAGATACACAGAGTGCCTTTTTCTGCTATAAATATGTACAAAACCTTAAAGATTTACTGATCAGCTTTATGTGAAATAAAATACTAGAGTTCTATCCTGAATTAGAAGAGGAAGCAAAGACATAAAAGAACCAGTTCCTCCTCTTAAGATCCTAGATTCTTTTCACTTGGAGCACAGCATCATGTACTATGCTCTTGCAAGTAAAAGGGGCTAGATATCATAACATTTTTTATACAACTTCTGAATAACCTGAAATCATTTTATTTCTTATCATACACAGCATTAGAGACTAACATTCAGCAATTCGAAGAAAAATGGCAGCAGATGAAGGAAGAGATTGAGCTACTTCAGGACTTAAAACAAACTTTGTGCTCTGTTCAAGAAAACAGTGCTTCAGTATCTTCTTTATCTTCTTAAGAGTTACCATTTCTTAAGCCAGAAATTGGGCATAGCTGCAAGCAGGCTGAGAACTAGAGACCAGGCCTGGGAAAGCCACACATCTCTAGCACAAGGTCTCGTGTCTTTCTTGTCTGCACACTTTGATCCTCACCAGCTCAACCTGTTCATGCCTAACTGGGTGTTTACTGCCTCCCTCTTATGATCTCACTTCTCCTACCTCTCCTCTGACAAAATGTTTCTCAGATTCTACTTGAGTAAATTGGATCATGCCTCCCATATCTCCCAACCTCCGTACTAAAACCCTTTCTCTGGCTTCCTGCTGACACATTGCCTCCACCCCTCTCGTACTCCAGTAAAATAGGTCAGCAGTCGCCAACCTTTCGGACCTCCGGTTGGCAACCGCTGATCTAGGTTGATTCCAGTAACACACCAGGTGCCCCTGCCCCCAGGGCCTTTAGCACATCCGGTTGTGAAGTCTTAACTGCTCTTTTGCCTTCCTCTTACTGCTCCCTCTGCAGATCTTATTATAGAAGTTCCTCCCACTTATTCCATCTGAGAGTACTTTTCCTTCATAACCCTTCCCAGTATAACCCACTGTACCTCACATCACGCTGCTGGAGTATCAGCTCTGAGGGCAGGAACTAACTATTCTGTGTTTGCTTACTATCACATTCCCAAGCACCCAGCATGCTCCATAAATGTTTGTTCAAAAAATACATAAACTGTTTTTATCTTTTGAAACTATTTCTAGCCCATAATGCCTCTTAGATATAATAAATTTGAATATTTTATTTTACTTGTACCAAATTTGCCTGTCTTCTTGTCACAAAGTCTGCTTTTTAAATTTCTTCTCAGCCACAGTCATCACATAGAAATACATCATCTTCAAAATAAACACTGAGATTTAAAATTGGACTCTGAATAAGAATATCAGTGAGAATATGTAAGAATGAAAAAAAAATGATAGTTACGATTTTTCTCAACCTTACATTCACATTTCTAATTTTTTACTATAGTACCTTAATACACAATAATCCTACATTTCTTATTGTTGTTAATTCTCATCCAAGGGTATTTTTCCATTGATTTCTTAGAGTGGAAGGGAGGGGGAGAAACAGAGAGAGAAACATCCATTTGAGAGAGAGACATCAATTGTTTGCCTCCCACATGCACCCTGATCAGACCCAGGGATCGAGCCTGTAAATGAGGTATGTGCCCTTGAGAGGACACTGTATCCACTGAGCCAAACTGGCCAGGGCAATAATGCTACATTTCAAAATGAGTTTGATTAAGTCTCAGCATGATGCCAGGTATGTAGTAAGTACTCAAAAAATATCTGTTCAGAGAAGAATATGATGTAGGTGAAAAGAGAATGGGTCCATACCTGTTGTAAAGGCAACCCTAGCCGAAGTCAGGTCAGCGGTTCTCAAATTTGCACATCAGAATCGCCTGGGGGACTTAACAAACTAACAGCCAAGACTCCATCCCAGACCCACTGAATCAAATTTCCCCTGGTCTAGATGGTAACTCAGCTTCTGCCCTGATACTGAGTAATAGTTTTGACTTCATGATCTTTAAAGAAAACCTCTGTCCCCCCACGTTATTTTCAAATTTAATCTGTCATTCACAAGATTACTTTGGCACAATGCAGCTCATGTTTTACAGTCATAAAGTAAGCAAATGTCTGGCAAACTTAGACCTGGTTTTGTACTTTAGCTCTATCACTTAGTACTGGAAAACTTTAATCACATTGTTTAATCTATCTGAGCCCAATCCTGCCTACCTTATGGTACAAAATGTGGGCATGAAAAAAAATGTACATGCAGCACAGGGCATGATGCTTGGCACCGTGGGAAATAAATGTTTTCACATACACACATCCTCCCCTTGCCAGCATTTCCACCTCTCAGACCCTGGCTTTTCTACTCAACCAGACTTGCTTATGTTAGGCTCTGGAAGGCTCATCAGCTCCCACCTGTAAGCCTTTGCTTGTGCCACTTAATGTGTTTTGGAAATGAGCTGACAGGACACTTACGTTTTTCCCCACACTGCACAAACATCTTCAGATATGCTTCTCGTATTAACTCTTAGGTTTTCTCTCACTATCATGAAAAGCTGTTTACAGATATGTTATTATGTTAACTCCTAAACCTTTCCTATAATGTATACTTTCCTTGAGGGCAGGGACTATTTATGTCTTTTCCTTCACTTATAAGTACCCCAAAGGATTCAGGTTTTTCTGCTGTGACAGTTCAACTGTACTATCTTTCAGCAGAAATAAAATCAAAGGATTTTTATAGGGGTGTGTGTGCAGTTCAGACACAGTTGACACATGTTCATGGTGGTATCTATTTTTAGCCTGATACCTGCTAAGACTCATAGTACAGATTTTTTTAAGTTGTTGTAAAATTTACCATGTTAACTATGTTTATGTGCACAGGTCTGCAGCGTTAAGTAAATTCACACTGTTTTGCTACCCCCACCACTGTCCATCCACAGAACTCTTTTCATCTTGCACAACTGTAACTCTGTAACTGTGACTCCCCATTTCCTCCTCCCTGGAGTCCCTGGCAACCACAACCTACTTTCTGAAAGTCTCTGAATGTGACAGGTACTTCACATAAGTGGAATCATATAGTCTTTGTCCTTTGGTGACTGGCTTATTGAACCTAGCATAATGTCTTCAAGGTTCATCCAAGTTGCAGCATGTGTCAGAATTTCTTTTTATGGCTGCATATTACTGATTTTTGAGGGGGGTAGTGGAACAACTACATGCCTCTTTTTAACAGACAGCTTTATTTATTAATATGTCATTCTAAACATTACATAAATACAACCTATACATTAGAGTATCAAACATGTTCCAGTAAGAAGATCAACAGTACATTTAGGGCTATTTTAGGAAATATGAATACTTTGGCTTTCATTATTACATCAGAGGAAAAAAGCAATTCAAAGAATAGTTTTCATCTCTATGATTAACAACAAAACCAAGTAGAAAAATAAGTATATATTTTTAAAAAAAGATAAACAATTTTGAAGGACTTATTCCTGTTCTCTTCACTACATACATACTCACACAAATTACTCAATAATATGAGAAGTGGTTCTTCACAAATATTTGTTCAATGAATGAACCATGTATGGAAATGGACCTACTACTTTAATTTGTGCTTTTCATAGTCCTTTTTTCAAGTAAGAGCAATAGTAAACATACTGAAGTTCATGTTTTGTCCAGATCAAAATAAGCCTACAGAACAGTGATTGTTACAAACACTACCCACCATAATTAATCAAATTAATATGTATTATCAACCTAGTAAGAAAAGTTCTATCATGTTACAGAACCAGTTCTAACCTAATCACTGGACTTCAATCACTAGCAACATGGTCAAGAAAAGGGGTCTGGGACTTCTAGATTTGTATATGTTTTACCTGTCAATGAATTTCTAGCTTCAGGCCCTCACTCCCTGCTACACACACACTTAAAAACACTGCTAAAAATAATAGCTGCCGCATCTCTTCACCCTCTTGTTAATCTGAAAATGTATTTAGGCAAGAGTATACTGAATATGTCAGTCATTTTTATTGGGGAAAAAGTGTGTGGAGGAGGGGGCAATTTAAACTTGAGTTCTCAAATTTTATCTTAATAAAATAAAACATCGTTAAATAGTAGTGGAGATTCTAATTTATAAATACATTTGATCTGAAAATGTATTTAGGCTCCAAGTTCAGATGGGAGGACCTTCTAGGCAGGAAACAGAATTTGCTAAGAGAACTCCCACAAATGGAAATGAGTCTGTGGATTGGAGGGCAGAACAGAGCTTTGTTCTTAAAGCAACTGACACACACGACAAAGCTTAAGAGTTGAATATTCTTACCTTCCAAATCACACTTCATAACCAGACCCCCAAAAACAAAACAAAAAATCCCATAATTTTGATCCTTTTTCAAGGTCCAATTGTGCTAAATATTAGACCTAACACAATTAAAAGGAGAGGAAAACCAAAAGTAAAAGCTGGCGAAGTTTCAAATAAGTGAATTGGTGATGGATTTGGTCTAGATAAGATATAAAACTAATTCCTTTAAGTCCTGTAAGAGAGTTGGTTTTAAGAACCTTTTCTTTGAATCATATGTAGCAGATCTGATGATTTAGCAGCCACAATTTAGGAAGGCAAGAGTATATTGAATATGTCATTTTTATAGAGGAAAAAGTGTGTGGAGGAAGGGGCAATTTAAACTTGAGTTCTCAAATTTTATCTTAATAAAATAAAACATCGTTAAATAGTAGTGGAGATTCTAAGTTATAAAACATTCACCTTGTCCAAATTTCTTCCATTATCAACTTTTCACAGACAGTTCTAAATTACTACTCTTTATGTGCTTAAGTCTTAAGAGAAATCTTGGCTAATCTAAAAATTTATCTTAACATAATTATCATTTCAATAGATTTAACTCATATTAAACTTAATATTATTTTCATACACCATGAAGTTAAGAAAAAGTCCATCAATAGTGCAAACACACACAAAAAAGCCTCAAAATATCTCAGCTATTCTTTCACAGTAAGGCAGTTGAGCTAGCAACTAATGCAGCAATTCAGTAAGACCCAAAGTCAGCATCTTTAATTCATGGTGGGGCCTCTATGTCTAACTCACAATTCAAAAACTATCACCACCCCTAGTGTCAAACGGATTGTTGATAAGTGAGCCAGGAGAGTTGCCACAAACGTTCCCTTTCCAAGTTCATAAATTCCTCTAATGAAAAACAAAAAAACAACCAGCTAAACTTTCACCCTTTTATAGTGTTCCAGACAAACCGATAGTCACATTTAAAATAGACATGTCTGGAAACAAGAGTTGTTTAAAGTAAGTTCAGGAAAAGCCATATATACTTCATATATTCCTACACAGAGAATTGTGTCTCAGATATGAAAAGAAGTAAGTTCAGGAAAAGCCATATATCCTTCATATATTCCTACACAGAGAATTCTGTCTCAGATATGAAAAGAAATAAGTTCAGGAAAAGCCGTATATCCTTCATATATTCCTACACAGAGAACTGTGTCTCAGATATGAAAAGACAACCTGATGGTTTTTACCTGCAGCCTATCACCAGTAGAGCACAAAAGACACACCATCACCAGTGCCCCAGAGCACTCACACATAACCCAGCAGCCTTGGCTTCAGTTCTTAAAGGCTCCACATTTACTGGCTTTAGCAATGAATTCCTTTAGCAGAGGGCCATCCATTTGCCAAAATGCTGCGGTCTGTGTAACTTCTGTCAAATGATTGATGCAAAACTTAAAGCAGAATTCTTCTAAATCCTGGACACACACAACAAAAATAAAAACAAGAAGAGGCCTTTTTAAATTAACCTTAATTGAATTACTCTCTCCAAACCCTTCACCCCAAGTACCTCCCCCTCCCCCAGAAAGGTAGTTGAGTCCAGAAACCTCAAATTAGGCAAACAAGTGGCCACAGGTAGGTGTCAGAAAAGCACGTGCTATTTACTCACAACACAGTAAAAGCAACGGTTCCCTATCTCATCTGACTCTTCAAAACATACCCACATGCACACACACACACAGTCCATGAGGGTAAGTTTCCTCGTGGTTATCACACAGTCTAGTGAGTCATACTTAACATGATTTTAAAAAGCTAACGCAACTTAGGTCCCAATCATATGTTTTACCACATTCAAGAAGTCAGAGAAAAGAATTAAGATATGGGTTATTTAGTTTAAGGCAGAGACTACAAAAAATAAAAGGGGGGGGGTGAGAGACTATAAGAATTAGAAAAGCGTTGAAGAGGTGTAGTCAACCTAAAGTGACGCATTAAAAAAATTTCCAAGGGCCTTAAATTCACTTTCATGCTCTCCTAAATACAAATGCCTTCAAGAATAATACTCAACAACGTCCATCACACCTATTTCTTAGATGGTTAACAGAAAGAAGAATATTCAGAGATTGGATTTTCAGTCAGACAAATGGAAGTCACCAACCACCACCATTCAGGAAAGTAATATATACAAATGGTAAACCAGAACAATTTAAAAATCGATTTCTGCCTAACTAATACAACCTGTCATCCCCAGCAAGACTCTAATGTTGTTTGTTCCTTCGTATGTTGGAACATATATTAAATCAATGAGGTACCAGGAATATATACCAAAACTAAGTATATAAAAGCAAATCCCGCTAATAACTCTTATCACAAATAGCTTGACTTTTATCACTTGGCTGGATACTGTGGAGGTACTCAGGGTCCTATCAAACCAGGAATTCAACAACATTTAAATGGTACAGTCTTGACTTCACATTTCCAGCAACCATGAAATGAGAATTTTAGGCAAAATGGGGAAGGACTCACACAAACATATGAACACACACCTTTTTTGCTCTCTCGGTGCAGACCTCTGCGAATAAAGACTCCCTTTATCCTGAGGAGCCTCTGTCTCCACTGAAAGGAGGATACTCCCCTCCAGGAATATAACCAGTAGGGGATAAACTCCATCTAATGTGTACCAGCCAGCCACTGCCAGAGTTTTATTTTCTAGATAATTCAAAATGCATTTAAAATGTTAGCACAATCTCTGAATCCATATTTTTTTAAAATATATTTTATTGATTTTTTTTACAGAGAGGGAGAGGGATAGAGAGTTAGAAACATCGATGAGAGAAACATCGATCAGCTGCCTCCTGCACACCCCCTACTGGGGATATGCCCGCAACCAAGGTACATGCCCTTGACCGGAATCGAACCTGGGACCCTTGAGTCCGCAGGCCGACGCTCTATCCACTGAGCCAAACCGGTTAGGGCTGAATCCATATTTTTAATAAGAGATAGCGAGTGGATTGAATAAATGTACAACTGAATGCTCTAAGTATTATAGTAAATTAAAATGCTAAACTATATAAAACATTCTCTCTCACATTAATATTAAAGAAAAAGCACTACTCCTGGTATTTTATAACCCAAAGCTTAATAAATAGCTCTAGGGACTAAATTATCCCACAGGAAGATATACTTTGATCTTTTTTTTTTTTTTAAATATATTTTATTGATTTTTCACAGAGAGGAAGAGAGAGAGATAGAGAGTTAGAAACATCGATGAGAGAGAAACATCGATCAGCTGCCTCCTGCACATCTCCCACTGGGGATGTGCCCGCAACCCAGGTACATGCCCTTGACCGGAATCGAACCTGGGACCCTTGAGTCCGCAGGCCGACGCTCTATCCGCTGAGCCAAACCGGTCTCGGCTACTTTGATCTTATTTATCAAAAATAGAAAACTAGTTTACCCATAACTTAGGAAGAAGTAGCCAGTCATGAGCAAGAAAGTTCTTCAAACCATGTAATATATCAGATAAGGATCTTTAAATATTACGTTTTAATTATATAATTTCAAATTCAAAGGAAAAGAAGCCTGGCCAGTGTTACTCAGTGATTGAGTGTTGAACTGTGAACCAGGAGGTCATGTTTTATTCCCAGTCAGGGCACAGGCCCAGGTTGTGGGCTCAATCCCCCCATAGGAGACATGCAGGAGGCAGCAGGTCGATGTCTCTCTCTCTCTCTCTCTCTCTCTCTCTCTCTCTCTCTCTCTCTTTCTCTTTCTCTCTCTCTCTCTCTCTCTTTCATCAATAGAAACATTAAAAAAAAAGAATGCAAACTGTGCTTCTAATTACAAATCAGTTCATATATCAATAAAAATAGTTCTATCAAACTGCCTTTGAATTGGTGAGATTTCTCAATATTCAACATATGTTTAACAGTTTCAAACATTAAAAGTCTAACTAGGGCCCTGGCTGGTAGGGCTCCGTGGTTAGAGCATTGGTCCTGCGCACGGAAGGGTGGCAGGTTCCCTTCCAGGTTAAGAGCACATACTAGTACCTGGGCTGCAGGTTCATTCTCCAGTCCCAATCCAGGAGCGTGCAGGAGGCAATCTGCGGACACATCAATCTCTCCCCCCCCCCCCCGCCCCTTCCCTCTACTCTATATAAAAGCAATGGAAAAATATCCTCTGGTGAGGCTTAAAAACAAAAGTCTAACTAGGGAATACTGAAAATAATCTAAATATCCATTGTTTAAGAAACTATTTGAACCTTGGTGAAGGCAGATCTATGGAAAAGGAAGCATTGAAAGCACTTGGAAAGAGAAACTGGAATATGCAAATTCATTTGCATGAATTTGAGAGTGGCATAGCCAAGCGAATTCATTGAGCAACCAATGCCCTGAACCAGTTTGCCTTAGATGTGTGAATTAGATAAACATCTTTCTGATAATTCTTAAATACTATAAGAACCTACATGATCTGTTCAGCACATTCTGCAAATGATCAGATCTTCTATTGCTTAGAAAAGAAAATGCAACTCTTACCCAATCAATATATCAACTGTAACAGGATTGCTGGGCTTTAAATAAAACCTTTCCAAGGACAAGAATGACAGAATGAAAGAGTTTTCTCAAGGCCCATTGAATAGGGAAGTGGGAGATGCAAAATCTAACACGGTGTTATTGTTAGTATTTTAGAACTGAAGTCCATGTTTATGACATCTTGTGGTGAAATTGTTGTAAAGGCAAATAGCATAAAACATCAGATTTGTTGTAATTAGCAAGGAAGATCAAAATTAAAAACTGCTATACTGAAATAACTTATAATTTCATTCCAAATTTTTAAACACTTGATTTAATTATTTCAGTCACTATACATACTCAAAAAACAAGTTGTTTTTCCTTCCTTCCCACAGATTTTCTTTAGTAACAAGAGAACTGATGGTCTTAATATCAATTTAAAAAATGTTTTACTTATGATTTTAGAGAGAGAGAAAAACAACAATTTGTTGTTCCACCTATTTATACTTCACTGGTTGATTCTTGTATGTGCCCTGACTGGGGATCGAACCTACAACCATGGCATATCGGGATGATGCTCCAACCAACTGAGCTACCTAGCCAGGGCTTAATATCAACATTTTAAAAATGCAATTTTATTTAATGGAGTTATCCAGTCCTAAAATACCAAAACTAAAATAGCTGAATGCTAAGACTTCCTGTGGAAGGGCACTTGGCCACAGTAAGACAGGCTCCCTTCATGTCACAAGCCACCCTTGAGACACATGCAGGTGACAAGAGATGGCGAACCGTAACTAACTGTCCAAACTTGTTAAAATAATTGTAAAGCAAAGCCCCTAACCGTAAGTCTGGAATTCATTTTATAATATATCAAGTACAAAATATTTCATATTGAAGTGGGTATTTTTTCTAAGAATGTATTTAAATATCTTACCATATGGAAAAATAGAGAAAGGTGCTTTCTCCCATTACCCCAAACATATTTTACAGTCTTCTGGTCATAGAAAACTTGTAATCTGGCCCTCAGAAAGAAGAAGAAAAATGCTGACCATCTGACTTTAGCGTGAAGTTTTCCAATACTCACATCCCAAACCACTTTTGGAATTACATTTCTGGGCTCATATTTATGGCTTCCCAACAAAAACAAAATCCTAAGATACAAGTTACTCAACAAGTAGGATTTTCTGGAAAATTCTCTAATCTGATTAAACAAATAATACTTCCCAACTGTTCCTCCTAAAGTTCAAATATACATTGAAAACAAAAATTTCCTGAAACAGTATAAACAGAAACATTTCAAATTTTTTATAATGTGACACAGAAGTACCTCGAGACAATGTTTTACTCACATTTTCTCCCTTGATGTCAATATTTATTCAGATTTATGCTAGAGGATTACTTAAGTGCTCCTTCTCCAAGTCCCTCTTTACTTTATAGAAAGTTTCATTCATAATGACAGGACCCCACAATAGTTAATTTTAAAAACTCTTCATAAGTAGTGAGTCAATACATTTTTGTTGCTTTTATGTGTGCACATTTGCTTAAAGATTATCTTGTCAAAGGGTGTATGGAGGAACAATAATAACTTTTATAGAAAAGGGAAGAAACATGAGAAGCAGGTGGTCTCCATCTTCCTAGCATTTCAACCCACAAAATGAAGGCAAAGGCATCTAGTATCCTCAAGTTGAGCTTCTGAAAATAACAGTTTTTGCAGCTAATTTCAAGTGGCTTAGTAGTAGCTTCCCATCAACTAACAGATATAGTAAGTGTGTTTTATTTTTATATTCTAAAGACTTCATTTATTCATTTACTACGTTCAATAACATTAAGAAAATAAAAATTAAATTTGTCAATTATGTAACTCCTATCAGAACAACAACAACAAAAAACCACCAAAGAAAGTGATTCTTTTTATTTTTGTCTCCTCTCTATTTTATAATTTTTCCATATTGACTGTGTTATATTTGTACTAGTGATCTGGTGCATGGATTCGTGCACATTAAAGGAAATTAATTAGAAGAAATATTTTAATATCACTATTCGCCCTTTCTCTATAATAGAAGTGTCAACCAAATTCATGATCGACAATGACAGATTGAAACACACGCATGCGACTGTCGCCAGCGAGAGCTTTATATATATTGCTCATGTGCGAGTCAACTTAGCCTTTTATATATATATAGATAAACCTGCTTAATTAGACCTGCTTTCTGATTTAGCTAAACTTTTTCCAGCCCAGTGAAGCACCCCAACTTCTCTTTCAGGTAATTGTTAGCAACACAGCAGTAAATATCAACACAAAGCAGATTATTATTGTAGATCACGCAGGGAGAAAAAGGGGTGATTCTTTTTATTCCTCTCTATTTTATAATTTTTCCATATTGAATGTGTTATATTTGTATGTTTTTTTAAAGTTTTTTAATAAGCACATCTTCATGATTACGTGTTTCAAATACATTCATTCATGAATTTAACTCAATGTATATTTTTTAATACTAACTATATGCCCATATTGTGGCAGACTCTGGGAGATCCCATGCATTTGTGGTCTCAAATAATGGGTTTTATTTTTAATGTGTTTATATTTAATTAAGGAAAAAATAGTCAAGGAAATGATCAGCTAACATAAGGCTTTTCTATGAACTTTCCGGGGTACATGTTAGCTAGAAGTGAGGAAGAAAGTTTCAGCAACTAGAGCCGAGATGTTTACCTCTGTCCAGATGGTTTTAGTCAGCAAGATCCCACCCCCAAAATGTGAAACTCATTAGCAATGGGGAGGAGTATGGAGAAACACAGACAAGATTTTAAAATCAATCACAATATGGAGAGAAAAGACACTGGCAATTTAAAATTAGATCATTGGGTGGGAATTAAATCTAAGGAAATAGCATTTCTTTTTTTTAATATATTTATTTCTTTATTGATTTCAGAGAGGAAGGGAGAAGGAGAGAGGGATAGAAACATCAATGATTTGAGAATCACGGATCGGCTGCCTCCTACACACCCCCCACTAGGGACCGAGCCCGCAACCCAGGCATGTGTCCTTGGCCAGAATCGAACCTGGGACCCTTCAGTCTGCAGGCTGACGCTCTATCCACTGAGCCAAGCTGGCCAGGGCAGAAATAGCATTTCTAATAAAGAAGCTCATAGTATCAAAGAAAGGGCAGGAGGAAAAACTATACTTCCATTTTCTATTAGAAGTATCTTTTGATCATTATTCCATCTGTTGAAAAGGCTACAGAGAAAGTCAGCTATATTTGACCTTATCAAATATTTATAATAGTAACATAATCTCAAATAAAAATAGTACACATTTTGAAAACACAAGACATAATGGCGCACTTCGATCCCTAAGTGTGGTAAGGAGGAAGTCTGTCCTCCACCACCTCTCCAAGGCCACAGCTGCAGATTCTTGCAGGTGTTTGGTAAATTCCCTGGAACCAGGTATTCTGTCTCATAATATGATGACAGAATACTTACAATACTAGACAAATTGTGCCCTTTAGGGTGGAGATCTTAACTAGACGTCGTGAACTCCAAAGCTACTGCTCTCTACCTTTTATTCCCTGTGAATTTGTAAAACCAACCATACCAACCTTTAGTTCACTAAGCATCCCTAAAGCTCCCATTGGGTGGTTCAACAAACATTTATCATCCAGAGCCTACTATGTGCCAGGCACAGGGTGCACAGATGAGTAAGACCCAGTTCCTGCTCATGAGGAACTATGGTTCTTCACTTCAAGAAAATGCACATAAATACAAAATGTCAGACTCCCAAAGCCGTTTCAATCACACTCTTAAGAGATCCATGAATCCCAAAATTAAGAATTCAATCCAGTGTAAGTAAAAAACAGACAAAAAGGATTCCAGAGCAAGTTCTTAACACATGAATAACTGTTATAGTTAGACAATGATAGAATTTCAGAACATAAACAGATATAAATCATATGGCATCCATGGCGTACGACATGGTAGAGCGGAGAGACAGCAAAGTGGTCTTAAAAAAATATATATGCTGACCTTGAGAAATACTTGAACTAAAATATGTGGTTTGTTAGTCCAATTAGGTGTGCACTTCATATGCCAACCAGCAGTACAGCTGCTGGGACCTCAATTTCTTATCTTAGTTAAAAAGGAAAAGAAAGGAATAATAATTTTGAAACTAAGAACAGAAAATAAAGAAGCAAGGCCAGATTTCATTGTTCAGAGATCAGTCACTTCATTGATTCCTAAGTAGAAAGGAAGTTACTCATCAAGGTCCTTGTCGAAGTGAGAAAAAAGAGAGAGAGGAGCATACAGGGACTTAGGGGTGGTTTGAGTTTGTTTGTGGTTTTACATTACCTCTGCATCGTATCTGACTGCAGCAGAGAATAATGAAAAGGCATTCTCCACAGTGATTCCTTGCTTGATAATGTGCTGACAAAGTTTTTTCAGTCTGTTTTCACAGTAAGATGTCGCCAAATCCAAAAGACCTACAAGTTAAAAGTATAGCAGTTTTAATAAAGTTTATGATAATGTCCCATAACTTAAACATATATGTGTGTGTGTGTGTGTGTGTGTGTGTGTGTGTATGTATATACGTATATATATGTATATGTATTTATTTTGTTTCTGGTGCACAGAGTAATGTAGGTAAATCAGAAGTTTCTTAGTGAATAATACTTGAATTTTATTAAGTAAGTTCTCTTTGTTACTCCCCAACTCCCCAAACAAACCTCTCTTCTACTCACTTTATACAATTTCTATAGTACAGAGAAAGGCAAAAAATAAAATTTCCCACTCATTTTTTTTCTAAAATGACATGATAAATCCATTATCAAGTTATACTTCAGTATTAAAAAATTAAAATAAGTCCATAAAATAATTTTGGACTTATTTTATGTCCAAAATTATTAACCATAACTATACAATATTATTTTAAAGATATTTACTTCAAGCCGAAACCGGTTTGGCTCAGTGGATAGAGCGTCAGCCTGCAGACTCAAGGGTCCCAGGTTCGATTCCGGTCAAGGGCATGTACCTGGGTTGCGGGCACATCCCCAGTAGGGGATGTGCAGGAGGCGGCTGATCGATGTTTCTCTCTCATCGATGTTTCTAACTCTCTATCTCTCTCCCTTCCTCTCTGTAAAAAATCAATAAAATATATTTTAAAAAAAAAGATATTTACTTCAAATATTTTTTAAAAGCCAATAAACCTGAAACTCTTCATGTTTCAATACTATAAGAAGATGAGGAGCTATATTTCTGACCATATGATATGGCCAGTCCCAATGTGGCTGAGTACCTATAGCATCTTCAGGTGGCAGGTCCACCGTGTCTGTGTAGAGGAACTGAAGAAAGGCACGATACACTGGGTAAGAAAACTGGTCTATTTCTATCACTTCTTTCATGTCCTCATTCCAATAAGACTGAAACATGGATCGAAAGTGCTCACACCTAAAATAGAACAGAAAGTCAATTCAGTTGATGGAATCAGTTAAACAAATACTATAGGTATCTTTAACTACTATATTTGGGCTTCCACACCCCAGGATCATGAATCTCTAAAAAAAATATTCCATGTGCAAGAATTTTTATATTTGCCTTTTATGTACACTCATTTTCATGTTTTTAAATCTTCAATCAAGGATATGTTTTTATTGATTTTTGGAGAGAGGGGAAGGGAGAGAGAGAAACAATCAATGTGAGGGGAAACATCAATTGGTTGTCTCCGGTACGTGCCCCGACCAGGGATTGAACCCACAACCTAGGTATGTGCCCTGACCAGGAATCAAACTCACAACCTTTTGGTGTATGGGATGATACCCCAACCAACTGAGCCACCGGACCAGGGCATGACTTTCATTTTTGATGAATGCTTCCTATGAAATATTAAGAATTATATGTAGCCCAGTCAGTGTGGCTCAGTGATTGAGCATCGACCTATGAACCAGGAGCTCACATTTCGACTTTGGTCTGGGCACATGCCCGGGTTGTGGAATCAATACCCAGTAGAGGGCATGCAGGAGGCCACCAATCAATGATTCTTTTTATTGATGTTTCTATCTCTCTCTCTCCCTCTCTCTTTCTCTCTGAAATCAAAAAAATATATTTTAAAAAATAATTCTATGTAGAGCCTAGGAGTGCCTAGCACTTGTGCATTACTGCTGTTTCCATTTGACAATCCCCATTCATATCAAGACATCTTGCTAACTTGTTTTTTTAAAAATGTACAGGAGCCCTAGCTGGTTTGGCTCAGTGGATAGAGCATCAGCCTGGGGACTAAAGGGTCCCAGGTTCGATTCCAGTCAAGGGCACATACCTGGATTGTGGGCTCGATCCCCAGTAGGGGGGCGTGCAGGAGGCAGCCAATCAATGATTCTCTCTCATCACTGATGTTTCTATCTCTTGCTCCCTTCCTGTCTGAAATCAATAAAAAATATATATTTTTAAAAATGTATAGGAATGCATTTTAAGTAATGAAATTAAAGGAAATTAAAAAATGAGAGTTCAAACATATCACTATAAAGTAACACATTTAAATGATTCATTTGTGGGTTTTTGTTTTTGTTTAATCCTCACCCGAGGATATTTTTCCATTGATTTTTAGAGAGAGTGGAAGAGAGAGGGAAAGACACAGAGAAATACTGATGTGAGAGAAGCACATTGATTGGTTGCCTCCTGCACGAGTCCTGACCAGGGTCCGGACTGGGGAGGAGCCTGCAAGAGAGGTTATGTGCCTTTGACTGGAATCGAAACTGGGACCCTTCAGTCCGCAGGCCGATGCTCTATCCCAGTGATGGCAAACCTTTTGAGCTTGGCGTGTCAGCATTTTGAAAAACCCTAACTTAAATCTGGTGCCATGTCACATAGAGAAATTTTTGATATTTGCAACCATAGTAAAACAAAGACTTATATTTTTGATATTTATTTTATATATTTAAATGCCATGTAACAAAGAAAAATCAACCAAAAAAAGAGTGACACGCGTGTCATAGGTTCGCCATCACTGCTCTATCCACTGAGCCAATCCGGTTAGGCCAGTGGTCGGCAAACTCATTAGTCAACAGAGCCAAATATCAACAGTACAACGATTGAAATTTCTTTTGAGAGCCAAATTTTTTAAACTTAAACTATATAGGTAGGTACATTGTTATTAACTTAATTAGGGTACTCCTAAGCTGGCCTTTACTAAAAACGTCCTCAATCTGATTGAGGTACATTCGCTGAGGTCAACCCTTTCCAACTCTCCCATCCACACTCGTCTTGTATACTTGTTTCAGATAGACGAGTGTGGATGGGAGAGTTGGAAGGAGTCGACCTCAGCGAACGTACCTCAAAATAATGTACCTCCCCCGCGCTGGGTATCCCGCAGCCCACCTGCGCCCGTGTCTCCCATCACCCACCCGACCGACACCCCCCACTTCTTCTAATGCCACTTCTTCAAAATAGACTCGCCCAGGCCAAAAACCGACTTCTGCGCATGGGCCACGAAGTTTCAATCGCACTGTCCGTGCGCACCCGCACGTGGTATTTTGTGGAAGAGCCACACTCAAGGGGCCAAAGAGCCGCATGTGGCTTGCGAGGCACGGTTTGCTGACCACTGGGCTAGGCCATTTATTTGTTGTTGTTTTTAATATAATCATCATATTCATTTTTTAATCTTTTTGAAGTCAAATTTATTGGGGTGACATTGGTTAATAGGAGCATACAGGCTTCAGGTGTGCATTTCTTTGTTACAAGATCTGTATATCGCACTGTGTGCTCACCACCAAAGTCAAATCATCTTCTGTTACCATGTAGTACCCTACCAACTTCCCTTTGGCAACCACCATACTGTTGTCTATGTCTATGAGTTTCAGTTTTATATCCTACATATGAGTGAAAGCATATGGTTCTTAGCTTTTACTGCCTGACTTATTTCACTTAGCACAATATTCTCAAGGTACATCCATGTGGTTACAAATGGCAGTAATTTATCCTTTCTTATGGCTGAGTAGTATTCCATAGTATAATATGTACCACATCTTCTTTATCCAATCCTCTATTGTAGGACACATTGGCTGTCTCCATGTCTTGGCCACTGTGAACAATGCTAATCAGCATATTCTTAAAACTGTTTTAAATGTTAACTGGATTGCATTTAAACTGATTATTGTTCCATTACCTTACATGACAATTATCCTCTTTCTGACTCGTCTTCAAAATGGCTACCACTCCTATTTTGTTTCTTTGCTTTGCCTTGCCCCTTTCCTCTCTTTCCAAGCTGTTACCAATCCTATCTAATAAAAGAGAAACATGGTAATTAGCCGTACCTCCGCTACCCTTCCCATTGGCTAATCAGGGCGATATGCAAATTAACTGCCAGCCAAGATGGCGGCCAGCAGCCAGGCAGCTTGAAGCGAACATGAGGCTTGCTTGCTTCAGTGACGGAGGAAGCCAACGTTCCCCGCCTGCCGCTGCCGGCCTCTGAGCTTGCAGTTTGAAACATTGTTACAAATATAGAGGCTAAACAAAACCCCAGAAACCTGCTTTCAGCCAGCCAGGATCTCAGAGCTGGAGTTGAAACAGTGTTTCGATTATAGAACTCAAACAAACCAGATACCTGCTTTCAGCAGCCGAGGCCTCAGAGCTGGAGCCAAGCTTCAGAGCTAAAGCTGGCCCAGAATAAAAAAAGAAAAAAGAAAAAAAGAAGCGGTTGGGAGCTTCAGTCACCCGCCAGCCTGAAAACAGCCCTCAGCCCCTCACCCAGACTGGCCAGGCACCCCAGTGGGGACCCCCACCCTGAAGGGGGTGTGACCAGCTGCAAACAGCCATCATCCCCTCACCCAGGCTGGCCAGGCACCCAAGCAGGACCCCCACCCTGATCCAGGACACCCTTCAGGGCAAACCAGCCGGCCCCCACCCATGCACCAGGCCTCTATCCTATATAGTAAAAGGGTAATATGCCTCCCAGCACTGGGATCAGCGGAGCAGCGAGGCCTCCCGGCACCGGGATCAGCGTGACAGGGGGCAGCGCCAAAACCCCCTGATCACCCTGCGGCTCTGTGTGTGACAGGGGGC